AATGTGCCTTGTATGTAGCATACTTTACGTTGCTTACTTATAGAAGCATTTGGGGCCCATTGTTCAATGTCTGGTTAACCCAAATCGGAGGTAGAAGCTCTGGTTCAATACAACGAGTGCTTTATCGATCATATGTTATATGCATGATGTCGAAAACGTCGATAATGACTGGCAGGTAGTGATAACCAGACATTGAATAAGCGGCCCATAATAAGGAACAAAATAATAGGGCATGAAGAGTTCTATCGAGGCACAATTTTGGTTTGTCCATAGCTAAACGGCTGGTATTCTTGACCTATGTCAAGAATTTTACTCGCATTTGACATCACCCTGCAGGGAAAGCTACTAGTTGTGAACTAGAATTCTACCAGTTTGCGTTTCAGCCCAACTAGTTCACGTTCTATCCTTTTTCAATGTTAGCAACTGGTATTTTTAACATTGCGATGTCCTACGAGATGTCAATTCTCAGGCTATGCATCAGCATCTACTAGCAGAAATACTAGTAGCATCATACCAGTTGATGAGATAGTCTGCCAATTCATCCCCTATGAAAAGCATTAGTATGCCTTTTTGCTCGCGGCGCTTCAACAGTCGCAATGGCCGACAGAGCACAGCACTCGCGTGGTATGCCTGAGGTACCAGGTGCAAGCCCTGGTGCAGGGAATTTTTATTTTTTTATAAAATTTCTTTTATTTATATTTTTTAATTAGGCTTTTTTTGTTATTCTTAGATTTAATAAAAAAAAAATATGTTTTTAATCAATTTTTTTATGGCACAAGTATTTCTTCCCATATATTTGTTTCTTTTTTTTGGAATGCAACTAGATTTTTAATTTTGTTATTTATATTTTTAAATTGAAATAATTATTCCTACTTACATTGATCTAACTTTAAAAATCTTAACCACCTCCAAGCGGCCTCGAACCTGCGATCCCGGAACCAGAACCAGTAGTCTTCACGTGACGCCACAGCCGACATTTGTAAGAAAAGCAATTAATTGCGCTTTATTTTAGGCTTTGGCAATTCAAAGGCAGATGTCGCCGAACGCTTAAGTTCTTCGAAAATGTCGAACTGGTAGGCATATACGAGTTTATGAACTAGTATTTTTTCTAACTGGTTTGGGTTTTCACTGCAGGGTAGTAATGAAAACGGAATGGAAATCACCTGATACGATGATAACTGACACTTGGTCAGTTTTTATGATGTAGTGAAAACGCTTTTGACACCAAATGAACAGCTGTTAGTTGAGGCAGTTATTGATGTCAGTAATTTTGTAATAATGAACACCAAGCATTATGTGGATACATTTTTTAGATTCTTCTTCTTCTTTATTGGCGCTGTAACCGCCTAAGCCATTTTGGCCGAGTCCAAAACAGCACATTTTTTAGATTATAGAGATTATATATATATATATATATATATATATATATATATATATAGAATTTATTTATATAACTGGGATGTGTGTATTTCACTGTGAGTTAATATTTAATCATTTATCGATGTTCCGATTATTCTATTTTCTTGTGTATTTTTAATTCATTCGATGCATCGAAAATATCGATTTTTATATACGATACATTAATATGCATCGATATATGGATCGAGAAAACTTCAATGTCATTTTTTGACTTGCATCGCTAAGACAAAAGTGGTGCTACACAGTGATGCCAAATTTAGTCAGAAAGAATAAAGTGCCAGAGTTGCTTATTTGTAAATAAAGACAAAATTCGATTTTTTTCCAGAAAAATTCGATTCTATATGAATTTTAGTACCACAAAGTTCGATTTCAAAAATTCGCCATTTTGGAGCAAAAAATCGATTGAAATTCGAATCGAAAACCAATGTTGAATGTCGAATCGAAAACCAATGTTGAATGTCGCTAGGCGAGCCCGCTATTCTTTTGGAAATTTTTGTCGATAAAAATTAGCGATTGCAAATGTTGGAAACCGTCTGTTTATGTTAGAACTAAAGTACTGCGAAATTCAAAACATTTTGTAAATATTTAGTTTTCAAAAATGCCATTCATTGCTTTGTCATTTCAACTGAAACAAGGTGTTATGCCAAGTCATTCCATCTCAAAGATACAATTTCTTAGTAAATTTTACTATAATAGGAGCCCGCAAAATCTCTTTACTTATATAAAAGAGGAGTATTTTCTGAGCCGCTGTGGTGTAGTGGTAAGCAGTGCGCGCTTTCACTCATAAGCACCTGGGTTCAAAGCAACATCGTAAAAATATAGAAAAAAGGTTTTTCTTAACAGCGGTCGTCCCTCGGCAGACAATGGCAAACCTCCGAGTGAATTTCTGCCATGAAAAACAGCTTCTCATAAAAATACAATCGCCGTTCGGAGTCGGCGTAAAACTGTAGGTCCCTCCGCTTAGTGTGACAACATCAAGGCGCACCCCACAAATCGGAGGAGAAGCTCGGCCAAACACTAACATATGTGTAAGCGCCAATCTATTAATCTTGTATAAATGTATTCTATTGTTTTTTAAATCAAATACTATACAAAAATAGGTGTTGTCTTAAGTTGGGTGCATTCCAAAACGCCAAAATACAAAGCATCAGTCTCTTTTATTACCGAACCGCACTAGAAGAAAGAGTATAACTTGCGCAACCTAGGTGAAAACTAGCATCTAACTGTGGTTGCATACATATGGCATTACAAGCTGCTGAGGTTTAGGAATAAAAGAGACTGATGCTTTGTATTTTGACGTTTTGGAAAGCAGCCTTTTTGTATGAAAAAATATTTAAGATAATAATCTTGTAAAAATGCATATTTTTATGAAAAAAATACAGTAACTTTGAAAAATATGCAAAATCGTAGTTCTATGTACAAGTGCTCTATACCTTTCCGATACTGAGTAGGTATCGATACCTTATTTGATACAAGTATAAATACTGATTTAAGTAATACCGTGATGGTATCGATTTATCCCTCCATCCCACTGGGAAAATAGGTAAGCACCTTACGAGGTAAGCCATGTTTTCTTTCAGTTTTTAGTACCAAAATTGTCATCATGGCCAAATGTATATTCTAAATTCCTACTTTCATAAGGCGGCCACGTCTTTGTTAAAGTAAGGCAGATTCGGCAGGGAAATGGTAAGGACCGCCAGGTGAAGGGCAATACCTTACCAGCAACTTACACTTCGCCCGGCTGTCCTTACCACGTCACTGACGAATCTCCCTTACTTTAACAAAGACGTGGCCGCCTTATGTAAGTAGGAATTTAGAATGTACATTTGGTATCAGACATACTTCTGAGCCGCTTTACAAAGTAAGTTACGTGTAATGCCGAGCAGTCGCTCGGAGTAGCTCGGTGCTTGGAAATAACTTCGGCTGCACGTTATTTTGCAACGTAATGTGTCGTCGGAGGTGTTCATGGCTTACCTCGTAAGGTGCTTACCTTGTTTTCCCAGTGGGATGTGTCGCACGCATCATTTCATTTCAATTTATTTGACAGTGTCTTCATATGTCATTGTTTAACATCTTTGAGCGACATAGTATTAACTGGCACTTGCATGATGTGACACATGTATCTATTACTATGTTTATGCTTCTTTTCTACTCGTCTTAAATATATATATATTTCTTGTTACTATGGTTTCCATTTTTTCCGAACCCATCTCGAGTGAATTTCCAATATACTATGAACATTGGTAAACTAAGGTTGGTTATGAGTTCGTTCTCAGTTCAATAAGCATATTGGATATCGAAGATTATTTTCGAACGTTCGCCACAGTCTTTATTGGATGCATATGGGCAAATCTACAAAATAGGTACACCCTAAAAAGAAAAATCTTTAATTTTTAAATTTGTGAGCACACCTATGTTTTATATATCACTTTATTCATATTCTCTTAATAAATCGATTAATATAAGTGTAATTCATTTTCATCAAGTGCTTCAAAAGTTCGACGAGGAATGAGCATGAAATAGGAAACGAAAGAATAAGCTGGGTTCAAATTACGTTGTTGAAGTTGTAAATTTTGAGCAGAGATTTTGAAAGTTGAACTCACTTAATTGGGACGTTCTAAATTCAATAGCATCCCCCGTTTTACCAGATTGTCTCCGGTTTTCGAGATAACGGTATTTGAAAATTTGATCAAATTTTAACTATTTTATAAATAACTGCCTCAGTTNCCGAAAAAAATTTGATTTGATACCACGCTCGAAATATTCTGACTACAAGAAATCGGAGTTTTTACACACTTCTAGAGAACATTTTTTGAAGCATTTTACAGGTATATGCAACATTATAAGGACTAGTAGTTATAAAGATATTTAGATCGTTTCGATGTATTTTCCAAATGTGCCTTTTGGAATAAAAATCACGCTCAAGATCTCAGACCTCTTGCTAAGGTATCAAATTATTCGTAATTGTTTGTAGAATACAATACATACTTAAAAAGTTCTTAAAATTAAATGCTCCAGAAACTAACGCGATAAACAGGTGTTTCAAAATTTATGCAGCAAATTGATCCAATTTTTTTTTTTGAGGCTTCAAGTATACGCCAATGAATTATATCCAAAAGCAACCAGCTTGATATAGTTCCAACACCAAGGTTCCTGTTTTTTAGATTTGCCCAAATACATTNTATTTCGTTATTTTGTAATGCACACTTTTCTTACCTACTACATATGAAGTATACACATAAGTGCTAAATGCCCATTAAATTTCAAGTCAGAATATGGTGTGCTTCAAAAGTTATGACATAATTAATTTTGCCCCTCTTAAAAATTATATAAAAAATTCACTTGTTTTCATTATTTTTTTAAATTTAAACACCTATAATTCAAAAGTTATGCAGCAAGTTGATCCAAATTTGTTTTTGAGGCTTCAAGTATACATACGTCAGTGAATTATATCCAAAAGCAACCAGCTTGATATAGTCCAACAGTGAAAATAAAGCTAAATAACACCAAGGTTACCTGTTTTTTAGATTTGCCCATATCTTTACCTTTATTTGCTTTTATGTTTCCCCATCTCTTTTCAGAAAATCTATTAATGTTGCCTGCGTACTTAGAGATCCCAGCACTTTTGTTGACATCACAGAAATGCATGAATGTGGTAAACAAATTCAATACAAATATTTTTAGAATTCTGTTTTATCACGCCATTTTTGTTTCAGGTGAAATTCATAGCATTTGAGTTGCATAACATTCGGAGCTCCAAGCAGAATTCACTTATTTCTATTCAGGTATGTACACACATTTACCCTGGCATTCAATAAGCGGTCTCTAGTCACTAATAGTGACTTTTGGTGGTGAACTTGGATTTTGAGACTATTTGGTATTCAGTACGCTGTCTCACGTCTCTAGTCTCAAAAAAAAGTCACTAATTTGTCACCTGGCTAAGAGCAGGTCTCAAAAATAAAAATATGGAGAAAAAGTTAATTGCTTTCCATTTATTAAAAAAACGCGAATATAAAGCGAGGAAATTTGTTCAATAAGAAATTCGTTAGGAAGTAAACCAAAATGCTATAATATCATACCACTCGGCCATTGGGACTCTTCGGGCAGCGCGGCAAAAGGCATACATAAACGCTATCAGCTGACTGTCTGTGTATGTTTTCACCACACATTTTTGGTGAACATTTTGTAACTCTCTCTGAATAGCCAAATCATCTCAAGTGACAAAAATATTCACTAATTGATAATCTCAAATTTAGTGACTTGAGATGAGACTGAATTACTGAATCCCAGGGTTAACGTCAGTGATGACACGTAAGTCCCAGATGGATTCTAACCATGGTACAATAATTACAGGTATTGTCTTCCCAGAGAGCGCATATTACGATCTGCCTTATTTAAAAAAATATCATTGTTGCCCATACTGAAAGGTTTACTGCTAGGGAAAAGGGATATTTCAATACCCCATATACCATATATGTATACGTGTTTCTTTAAGCAAACCATCTTAAAGAGAACTTACATATTTAAGTTTGCAAAAGCCGAAAAAAACATTTGCTTGTAAATAAATTCCAAATGTTTCACTTAATTTCAAACGTTTTTTCTTTTGTTTTGAAAATTTATAAAAATTAAATTGAGCGAAAACAAAAAGCAAAGCTAAATAAAACATTGAACTGCGTCAAAATGAACATAAGGGAGCACGAATTTCGATGTGAAGCAAAACTCTGGGAAAACAATACCTGTAATTATTGTACCATGGTTCTAACCACGATGCAATAATACAATGTGTTATCGGCTGGCAGCTTCTCGCTCTAATACCGCCTTTGGTGAAACAGTGTTACTTCTTTAACATTTCTTTTCCTAATAATATAGTTGAATGTTTTTTATTTTTTCTCAGTATATGTACACATTTTGTTTTTTTTAAGGTATTTTATCTTATTTATTTCATTTCAATACGAATATACTATAAAAAAGCAATTTTGGTTTAGGAAAAAACGTGAAATTTTATATTTTTCCCCCAAATGGGGATTAATTTCTTCCCGTTTTNCTTGGTTTAGGAAAAAACGTGAAAGTTTATATTTTTCCCCCAAATGGGGATTAATTTCTTCCCGTTTTTCTTCTCATTCACTGAGCTAAGGCAGTGTCAAATCGAGCTGTCACAACCGATACCACCTTGTATTATTGCATCATGGGTTCTAACATCACAAAGTAGTTTTTGTGAAAATTGCTGATAGAGGGTATTTAATATAAGCCCTCGATATATGATTCGAATTTGTATGCTCCACGTGCTAGTATACTTTTCGTAAAAGTTTGGAGATAGCAGGTCCCTAAAATAGGATCCCATCGGTGGTACCAATGCATGCCCCATAATTGAACATGTTATGGGTTGATGCCAAGCTCATCGTAAGAAGTCAGTTGTTGTTGTTGTTGTTTTAGCGCCGATTGGATTGTTCGAAACAGTTATCGCAGACCACGTTTTTATTCCATTTAAAAGAGAAAATGTCTTCAAGTATCACTGGCTGACTGATCGTGGTGTAAGCTTTTGAGAGGTAAAGGCCATACACCAGTGACTGCGTCTAGAATTATTTTTGACGTACAATGCGCCTAACGTTTCGGTATGGATGCCTTGCTCAAATTTAGTTGTAATTTTTATGACGATGGAGTCGATGTCCCACCGCCTGACTATGACGAGGTACGAATAGCGACTACGCGGCTGAAAAAGAACAAAGCTGCTGGGGCTGACAGCCTGCCAGACGAGCTATTCAAGTATGGCGGCGAGGAGTTGATAAAGTGCATGCATCAACTCTTGTGCAGATGAACGTATGCCCGACGACAGGAATTTAAGTTGGCTCTGCCAAATCCACAAAAAAGGCGAGCCCCCATACGCGCCAACTGTCGCGGGATCAGCCATCTAAGCATAGGTTACAAGGTCTCATCGAGTGTATTGTGTGAAAAACGGAAGCCCACCGTCACCGAACTGATTGGACCTTATGACTGTGGCCTTAGACCTGGCAAATCCACCATAGATCAGGTATTCACAATACGTCAAATCTTCTAATACTACCTATTTGTCGATTTGAAATCCGCTTTCGACAGCATGAAAAGAACTTGTTTTTATGCCTCGATGTCTGAATTTAGTATCCCCACGAAACTAATACGGCTATGTAAAATGACGTTGAGCAATACCATCAACTCTGTCAGAATTGGGAAGGACGGGGCTATTCGGAAATGCAGCAAAACAAACCATCAGTCTCTTTTATTTCTAAACTGTAGTTGCGTTCGCGTAGCTGTTAATTGTTCAAAGTTAACCAAAACGTTCAGGTTTTGCGTACGTAGGGGAAATTGAGGAGCAAAGTGACATTTCATTTTGAACGGAAGCTGCTAGTTTTTGCTGGAAAATTTTTGTCAACAGCAATTTGCCATCAGAAAAACAGCTGATCAAAAACAGCAGGTAGGAATTTACGCAAATCACAAAATTGAATTTGTTGGTTTAGAAGCTAAAATGATAAAATGCTGCTAATTAAACTTGTAAGAACTAAGTAGTTATTCGTTTAATCAATAAACTGGGTCAGGAAAACTTTTTGTGATGAGTTTTCGTACGTTCCAAATTTTACAATTTTGAATGTAAATAAAAATTCTATCTGCTGTTCGTCTAACTTGCAAGTTTTTGAAAATTTTCTGTTCGCGTACTATTTTGGATATATTTCTCTTGCGAAAGAACAGATAACATTTCGCCAGAATTTTGCTGTTGGATGTTTTTTACTGGAGACTTCACTTACCTTACCTTGTGGGGAAAGTGCGCAACAGGGGCGTGCCTCCTCTTTTCATCCAATCAAAAAACATACTAGGGCGAAAGAGAAGGCACGCCCCTGTTGCGTACTTTCGCCAAAGAACGTAGATAACAAGAAGGGATAACTCGTTATAATTGTAGCGAAAGTACGCAGCAGGGGCGTGCCTTCTCTTTCGCCCTAGTGCGTTTTTTGATTGGATGAAAAGAGAAGGCACGCCCCTGTTGCGCACTTTCGCCACAATTATAACGAGTTGTCCCTTCTTGTTATCTACGTTCTTTGGTAAAGAATTAATTTTTTTATTTTCATTTAATTAGTCATTTCAAAAATCAAAATTAAATAGAAATGCAAAATATTCAGCTTGCGGAAAAAGAATTTGTGATGACTTAAAATAACATTTTTTAAGTATGTTTGTATACATAATGAAACAAACATAATCGAACAAATCAAACAAAAACACGCGCTTACCCTTTTAAAATATTCCGCTGTTAATAAAATTTTAACGAACGTGCGCGAAATTACAGCTTTCATTGAAAATAGTCACCGACAAACACAAAGAACAGCAAAGAGATTTGAAGCGGTAAACCATTACAGAACCTGCTTTGCCGCTTTGCCCTCTCCAAGTCACTTTGCAGCTCGATCTCACTCTGACACCTTTTAGCGCTTTGCATATGTATACACATGCAGCGGTTTAAAGCTGGAAGTAGACATCCAGTAACCAGAGCGCAGTTGGGCTATTGTGGTCCGAGTCTCCCGAGGCAGNCCTTTTAGCGCTTTGCATATGTATACACATGCAGCGGTTTAAAGCTGGAAGTAGACATCCAGTAACCAGAGCGCAGTTTTGCTATTGTGGTCCGAGTCTCCCGAGGCAGACGAAGTTCTCGTCCACGCGTTGTGTGCCCAGAACGGCATTCACAGGTCGGGAGTCTACATAACTCGAGACTGCCTTTCTGTGAATGCCGTTCAAGGCCTTTCGATAAGCTGTCGGGTCCAGAGGTTGTTTGATGAAGCGCTGGACTTCGTCCGTCAGCTCTCTCTCGTCAGGCTCTTCTGCAAGGAGTTGTTTGTTTGGGTGGCCACATCTGTGGCCTGGAGCATGTGGGCCTCCTCGTGCAGGTGGTGTTGCGGCGATATCAAAAGGCATCCTGTCGCTGTCCTGAGTGCCGTGTTCTGGCAAGTCTGCAGCTTCATCCACTGCGTCCTACTAGTCCCCGGGGACCACACGGGCGCAGCGTAGTTCAGAACCGGCCGGCCAATTGCCTTGTACGTTGCCAGCATTGTTTCTTTGTCTTTGTGCTGCCGGCTAGCGACTTGAGGACCTTGTTGCGGCTTTGTACTTTGTTGATTGTTGCGGTTCTATGCGCCAGAAGGAGAGCAGACTATCGAATGTTACTCCGAGTATCTTCGGGTTGTCCACTGTCGGAATTAGTGTATCATCGCCATGAATTCCCAGTTGTAGTCTGACGTCCTTCGTCCAGGTGGTAAAGTGTGGCTGAAGCGAGAAAGTTCGGCGAGATAACCGTTTCCTTTCGAGCACAAGTCATAAATTCCATTCCCGGACGCCATGATCGAGCAATCGTCAGTATAAGAGACTATGGAGACTCCCTATGGTGGTTGAGGGAGCTTTGAAATGTAAAATTTAAACAGTAATAGGGAAAGAACACTACCCTGTGGAACCCCCTGTTTTATTTTCCTCGGTTTGCTCGATTTGTCTCTAAAAGTTACTGACGAGTGACGGCCGTTTGAGGGAGAGAGGAGGCCTCTATGTATTCTAGTAGCGTTGAATGACTGACAGTGTCGAACGCCTTAGACAAGTCTAGCGCTACTAGAATGGTTCTCTCACAGGGGCTGGGGTCAGGTGGTTTGTAAAATACGGGAGTAGCTAGAGGTGGTCGCTACCGGGGAAAGGAGGGTTATCGGGCGATAAGACTTTCCTTTGTTGGCTGGTTTCCCCGGTTTGAGCAGTGGGACCACTCTCCCCATTTTCCAGATGTCTGGAATGACGAGAGTGGCCATAGACAGGTTGAGGACCTCCGTTAGGTACGCTACTCCCGCAGGACCCAAATTTTTCAGCATCAACATGCATATTTCGTCGGGTCCAATGGCTTTGGAGGCTTTCGCCTTCCCGATGGCTACCCTTACCTCACCGCTGGTGAAAACAAGAGGCGCACTAGGTTTTGGCATTTTGTGCAGCCTTCTGGTCACTCGACGTTTGGCTTTATCCACCGGAGGATGCAGAATGAACTGCCGGCTAAAATAGCTCGCGCATCTCTCCGGGTCCGACGAAGCGTGGTCACCAAAGTCTATCTCGACTCTGTCGTCGCGCTTCGTCGGGTTGGACAACGACCTCACGGTTGACCAAAGCTTGCTCACACCAGAGGCGAAGTTGCAGGTCTTCAGATGCTCTTCCCATTTCTTCCGCTTATGTACGTTCACAAGTTGCCGAATCTCCGAATTGAGATCCCTAATACGGGGATTTCCGGGATCGGCCTGACGAAGGTTGTCGCGCTCATCAGCTAGAACAGCCGCTTCGGCAGGAAAATTCGGACGTGGATCCTTAATACATCCTGCTGGAATGAAGCGAGCTGCAGCAGCGGTGACAACCCTGCGGAACTTACGCTCACCTACATGAACGTCGGTTGGTATGGGTAGTGCAGTGAAGGCGCCCTCAGTAACATCCGTGAAGCCTTTCCAGTCAGCTTTGGAAAAGTTGACATAAGTCCGGTGATCCACGGAAGCAAAGTCGGCAGGTTTATCAATCGAGATGACTATGGGCAGATGGTCTGATGCTAGAGTCAGCATAGGTCGCCATGATACGCTGTTTATCAGACCAGCGCTGACAATTGTTAGATCTGGCGAGCTGCAGCAGCTGCCCATAATCCTGGTGGGTGCGTCGTCGTTCATTGTGCAGAATGTCGAATCGTCTATCTGCTCAGCCAGATGTATTCCCCTACGATCATTTGACAGGCTTGAGTGCCAGAGATCGTGGTGCGCGTTAAAGTCACCAACTACCATACGGTTTTCACCTCTGAGTAGCGCACCTATTTCAGGGTGATATCCTGCCGGGCAGCTGGTGACAGGGGGTATGTATACGTTAAATATTTCGAGCTCAACATCGCCTGACCGGATAGCAATACCCTGACATTCTAGGATGGTATCCCTGCGGTCGATGTCTGCTTCAATGAGACGATACTGCACGGTGTGGTGCGTGATGAACGCTAAACCTCCACCATTATCTCGCTCGCGATCTCGACGGTGCACGTTGTATCCGGCGCAATTCAACAGGGTTGAATTGCCGTGCAACTTCGTCTCTTGGACCGCAGCTATTAATATTCCATGCCTTCCCATAAAGACAGTTATCTCCTCGATCTTGCTCTGGAGTCCGTTACAGTTAAATTGCAGCACCTTTGTGTGCCTTGGGAGACCGACTGTGATGTGTGGTGTTAAAGAGTTGTGTTGCCTGCCGGCCCCCTTCTGTACGTGCTGCAAAAGGAGGTGCTGCCTTGTGGTGGTGGTTGGCGGCCTCGCGGGGGAGGGATGCGATGGGGCCCACATAGTCACTCGTCCAATCCCGCGTGTTCCGAAGTCCTGAGCACGCCCTAAAGTGGCACCAGCCGAGGCAAGAGTTGCACTTGACTGATGTCACGTTACGGTATATTCTTGACTGACAGACAGAGCAGATTGTCGGAGGGACTAGGAGTTGCCGGCGGCGGTGTGTGGGTGCTATTGTGTTTGTTTGTGTGTCTATTGCTGTGTTGTGTTGGGGTGTGGGTGTGTTGATTGTGTGCTGCCCAGGCGGGTGGTGGTTTGCCGTGGAGGCGGTCCGGTTCGCACAGCATGGGGCCACGAACGACGTGGTCCATTGCCGGTGCCTACGCAGGCCCGAGCAGTTACGAAGGTGACTCCACCCGTCACAGGCATTGCACCTGACCGAAGTGGAGTTTGTATGCAGTCGTCTCTGGCAGGTGTAGATTTCTGGCCCTGGGTTTGACTCTATGCCAGCCCTGAGCAGAAGGGTGCGGAGAAGGTGTAGCCCTAGGATCGAGCAACGTTTGATGGATTTCGCCGACCTAAACGGGGTTAGATCGCCGAAACAACAGCTCTTGGTCGGGTAAAACCCGAGTCATTCCGGTACGTAGAACCGGCTGTCGTGGGAATGTGCATATTACGTCGGGTCCAACGGCTTTGGAGGCTTTTGCCTTACCGATGGCTACCCTTACCACACCGCTGGTGAAAACAAGAGGCGCACTAGGTTTTGGCAGTTTGTGCAGCTTTCTGGTCACTCGACGCTTGGCTTTATCCACCGGAGGATGCAAGATGAACTGGCAAACTCACCCAAAGCCTATTTCAACTCTGTCGTCACGCTTCGTCGGGTTGCACAATGACCTCTCGGTTGACCAAAGCTTACTCACACCAGAGGCGAAGTTGTAGGTCTTCAGATGCTCTTCCCATCGAGCTGCCTAAGACACTGATACTTTGGTTTGCTGCATTTCCGAAAAGCGGGGGACCTCTCCGAGCCATTTGGTACCAAACGAGGTTTAAGACAATGTCACAACCTTTCGGTTTTTCTTTAATCTGATGTTTTAGAAGATAATAAGTGTTCGCTATGCAAAAAACTTGAACAAGTTGGTACCAATTCCAATTTTGCCATTTCATTTGCAAAATCGTGCTGGGAAAATTTTTGCAAGCAAGAATTTGCAATAAGAATTGTGGCACATGGTGGCATTTTTCTCAACAGTAATTTGAATGTTGTTGTTGTTGTAGCAGCATACAAATTCCCCAGACTTTTTGGGGTGTGTTGCTGGAGTGACAGTCCTTGGCCAGATATAAATCTGGGTCGTTCCGGTTACGTAGACCCGACTGTCGTGGGAACGAGTAATTTGCCAGTAATTTGAATCAACAAGTTCGTAACAAAGAAGTATGTAAATATTGGCTTATTCAATTAATTTAATTTAATCCAAACATTTGCAAGCTTCACTGGCAGCTGGCATAATCATTCTTGCCAACAAATGCTACTTTGGACTGGGTAGGCAATTGAGAAGTAAAGTCCTCTTTCGTCGTACAAAGACCACACTCTACAGGTCACTCATCATGCCTGTTCTGGTGTATGGTGCAGAGGCATGGACAATGAAAACATCTGGTGAAGCGGCTCTTGGAGTTCTTCGAGAGAAAGATCCTGCGAAAGATTTTACGGACCTTTACGCGTTGGCGATGGTGAATACCGCAGACGATTTAACTATGAGCTGTAGGAGCTTTACAACGATTATGCAGAAACGCTCCTGCTTTGAAAGTATTCAACCTGGGCCGCGATGCTGGTAACAGAGGAAGAGGAAGACCTCCTGTGCGTTGGAAATACCAGGCGGAGAAGCACTTGCCTGCACTTGGCTTCACTTGGCATTGCAGAAATTTAGTTTCCTTAATCTAAGTTTAATCTGGCACTGAAAAACTGGCCCTAAAAATAAAAATTTTATATCATGTTTTAGCAAAAAATAAAATATAACACACATTTCAGCAGGGTATATCAGTAAAATATATTTTTTATGTACGCTCATATTCTTAGATTCGTTCCCACGACAGTCGGGTATACGTAACCGGAACGACCCATATTTATATTTGGCCAAGGACTGTCACTCCAGCAACACCCCCCAAAAACTCGTTGGGGATCTTGTAAGCTGCCACAACAACAACAACAAGTACAATATATTACAGTTTATATAAACGTAAACAAATGATTCTATTATCCAGCGGAATTCTCTAATTGCAGATACAAAATTTTTCACTACAAATGTTGCACCAGAAAATTCGAATTGATGGTTTGGGTATATCCGCTTTGGATGGAAAAATGTTAGTCAGTGTAAGTTTGATGATCAACCGCATATTTAATGCTTAACTACATACAACTACAAGACACCATAATTTTACGATTTCAGATTGTCGGCTCTATTACTACGTACATGGTCTTCTTTATACAATTTATGCCGAAATTTAGAAATTTATAGATCATTCGATAAAATAGCAAAAACAAAATCAAAATTTAAGCGCAGAATGTTACGTATTTACAGAGTTCATTTCAAGCGCAACAAAAGTCTGTAAAGTGTCTAACATTTTTAAACTTAAGTGTTTTATCGAGCTACTGGCACATAACCTTTATAAGCTAATATAATCACTAATTATATAGAATATAGAATATTTGTTTAATGGAATTGACATGGTAAATAAAAGCTAATTTATTACTATGGTATTAAACGCAATAAGCTGGAACCTCGAAACTGAAATCTGTATATGTAGTACATTTTAATTATATTTTAACAGTTCAGTAGTTTCAAGATTTTCCAATTCTCGAAGCTTTTTTCAGTTAAAGGCAGTAGCCATATATTATGTGTTTAATGTAAATTCAATAAACCGAAGTTATTTTAGATAACGTTTTGCATGATGGTTATGAGTTCTTAAAGCTGAACTCTTTTGTTGGCACTGTCAGAAGTACATAGAAACAAATTATACATATGTAGGTAAAACTTCTGGAAAATATATCTAGTTTTATTGCTTAATTGCATCATTCTTCAAAAATTAGTTAAAAAATATCTAAAATAATATAAGAATTATATAATAAAGGCAGTGTGTTTTCACATACTGCCAAGGCGATACACACATGTTGCCCTTGCTCTCTCTCCACAAAAAAAAAGTAAAATATTTCGTTAACGGCAACATACACATTCCTAGTTCGAAATAATGATTACACTTCCTTACACTTCAATTCAACATTTTTTCAATTATTTTCTATCTATCTAATCATATTCATGACTCGATTCACGTTTCGTTATCAAATTTTCACGTTCTTCATCGGTGCCGTTAAGTAAAGTAGAGCCAGCAGGAGGTAAGGCATTGCGATTAAGTGCTTTCGTTCGGTGTAAACCCTCGGTGAGACCTGATTCAGTGAGTACTTCCACTGCGTCATCTTCCTCATTTCGCACAGCAAAGTATGGATGCGATGAATCAGGCCGGAATTTATAACCTGTCAGTACGAAGAAAACATATGTCGCCATCTCATGGAACATTTCATCTAACCAGGCGTACTGGAAAGCGACAGTCATCTTCAGAAGATATACAACTATTCGCGTAAAATAAATATAACAAACGATCATTATGTAGAATTGGCGGAATAACTTTAGTTTGCGTAAATTGATGGCTGCTTTGCCATCCGTGGCTGATGCCTCGTGTAAATGTTTTATTGACCAAACAATCGGAAACAGTATGGCACCGCAACAGATTAAATCCACGAAAATGAATATGTTGCGCCATGTACGAAATTCAATATCACTTTCTTCAGATTCATCAATAATGATTTCGGCGACGTTAGCGAGTACCTATTAAAAGCGAGTTTTTAGCGATTGACCAAGGTAATGATCTTGTTAATATAATTTACCTGTAGTGGAATAACAATCATGAAGATCTTTTTATCCTTGTCTGACAGTATGGGCTTAATAAAAGTCCAGCCGGTTCCCATAAGTACTATGGTGATAAATAATACAGATCCCTTGAGCCTAAAGTAAAATGTTAGAATAGAAAACTACTCCTTAAACATATTTATATTACTTACAAATGTGTTACATAATACAGAATCGCCCAAGCTTCAACGTGTTCGCCGCGAATTTGGATAAAATGATAATTAATGGAATGGAACATTAGAGAAAGTGATTTCAGGAATACCAACACTGCCATAATGTAGTGCAGCTTATGTACAGTGTGCCTTTGTAAAAAAAGAGAGAAGGATTTTTAAACAACCCCACTTTAAAACTAATCCCCCTCACGTACTTGCTCTTTTTCAAGATGAATACCCAAAACAAACCGGAAAGGAAGAACAGCACGCTCATCATGGAGTACAATGCGGGCAACGGCATTTCGCCAGCGGAGAGAAAATTGTTATTATTCTTCTCTTCAATATCGACCTGAAATGAATGGCTATTATGTTTTTACGCTTCCTTTCAACAATTAATAAATTAGCTTACATCAAACGAAATCGCCCTTGATGACCTATAGTTGGGACATGCATGGAAGTGAAGATTGTAGAGACCCTCATCGTGTAATGTGGCCACAAGCATAGAAAACTATAGCGAATAATTATAAGCTAAGACAACTAATTGCCATAACCTTCTAAATAGTTTACTTACCGACATATTATAATAGGCTTTTCCATTGATAGTTTTTCTCGCCAACGGTATTGTATAGTTTTTACAAAGCTGATACGGTATATTTTCGTACGAGACAGCGGGCGCTGCTTTAAGTGCGGGACGAGCGTTTTCAGATTCATGTGGAAATGGATTTTCTGCAGTGGCAGGTGGCGGAGCAACATTTTTGGGGTCAAATGAAAGTACTTTCGCCGGTTCTGCTGAAGCCAAAAGTGGCGCTACAGCCGCTTTTGTAGGTAAAGGTGCTTTAGCTACTGGTAATGGTGATGATGGTTTGGCAATTATTTGTGGTGCTTCGACAGAATCATCATCATCCAACATTTGTTGTTCATCTAAGGGTATGTCATTATCGTCTCCTTGTGCAGGACCGGCATCCTCACTCCGCTTGCGCCGTTGTAGATATATTGTTGAGTCACTCATCCTGGAATGACGCTTTCCACGATACATTGGAAACAATGCACGACTTCGATAAATGTGTTGATTCTTCCATTCCGGTGAGCACTGCACTTTGACACTAAAAAAGAACAAAATGCGAAATAAATGTGAAGTAATTTAATAACTAAATGTACCTTATAAAATACTTACTTAAGGTTCTTTAAATCAAATATGAAAAATAAAATCGGACCACTCCGTTGCATACTTGATGGTTCCTCCAGGATGCATTTGTTTTGATGAGAGTCCAAGTAGGGGTTTAATTGATCGATCGTCGTTTTGTCCAACGTTAGGCCATACTAAAAATATGAATTAAACATAAGACAAATGATTCCACTATGAGTTCACTATGAAGAATGGTAATTTTAATGTGGACAAATTGCATAACTTTATGAGATGTGATATCAAATAAAATATACAAACACATTGTTTTAATACATTTGGCAAAACAGACGGTGTTTCGTAAATATGCTACTGGCTAAGAAATATTTTTAGTTTATCTAATTGGTAATGATGCTTTTACGACGCCCAACTGTCTGGGCTATTTAGCCAAAACACCTAAGGAGAAACACTTTTTTAGAGAAAATTCTCACCAAATCATTATCTTCCACATCCTCTATATGCAGTTTACTCAGATGAACTTCTAAATGACCATCAGTGTAGAAGCCAAATGTGCTTAGCGCAATGTAAGGACGCACATCATGCTGGTTTAAAAACAAATAGAGTAAGTTATTTACCACTTAGAATATTACAGACTACTTACTCGGACTTCCAAATGATGTTTTCTGGCCGCAACTAATGCTAGGAATAAAACTAGTAAAATAAGCAGCTTGTAATTTGCTGGTGAGCCCATTATTTCTTTCTGGTATTCGTATACTACAGCAGACCTGTGCGGTCTGAGTTTTCGCTATTTTCTCTGCAAGTTATATTCTTTCTACTAAATTATTCTCTAAATCTAATAGCCCAATATTTACCTTTTATAATACGATTACAAAACTAAAGCACTCAAGTAAAAGTATAAAGTTGTTTTTTTTCCAATAATAATCCGCAGGCAAAAATCGCACATATAAATTTCCAATTCGTCGGGGAATTTTACGAAGCAAACAGCTGATTGTCAAAATATATAGTAAAGAAATCGCCAACAGAGGGAGCTTTGAAATTTAAGACAGGGTTCGTCAGAAATTTATTAAATATCAAATCGTGACCCAACCGACGTTAGCACCCATGAACGAAAGACAAAAGATCACGTAAGACCAAGAAAGTGAAAAAAGTCGATTTTTTTTAGCGGGTTCTACGCCATCTTGTTTCACTGGAAAACGAGCGAAAAGTAAACAAAGCAAAGAAAACAACGAAAACCAAAATTAGCCAAAATTATTGTCAGCCACTTTAAACGCACAATTTAGGTAAAATGATGCAACAAAATGCTTTAAAATGTGTTATCATGTTGAATTAACTCTTCTTTACTTGAATAATGCAGCGTTTTTGCTGCATTTAAAATGCAACATTTAGCACTTTCGAACATATGTTTTCGAAGAGCGTTCATGCTATCGCATTTAGCGAAGCGCACATTGGCGCGATTCTGTCGTTGCGAATCCGCAAGCCCAAAAATTACAACAATGCTACCCATACATTTTAATGCGCTAGCGCACACTTGCACGATTCCGTTGCTGCAAGCAAAACGCTGCAAGCCGCGTTTCGAACGCGTCAATAGAGAGGAATATTGAATGTTCGAAAAATTCGCAGCGACGGAATCGTGCAAGTGTGCGCTAGCGCATTAAAATGTATGGGTAGCATTGTTGTAATTTTTGGGCTTGCGGATTCGCAACGACAGAATCGCGCCAATGTGCGCTTCGCTAAATGCGATAGCATGAACGCTCTTCGAAAACATATGTTCGAAAGTGCTAAATGTTGCATTTTAAATGCAGCAAAAACGCTGCATTATTCAAGTAAAGAAGAGTTAATTCAACATGATAACACATTTTAAAGCATTTTGTTGCATCATTTTACCTAAATTGTGCGTTTAAAGTGGCTGGCAATAATTTT